TGCATCTAATGTTTGAAACTGTCTTTGGAATAGTTCTATTTGGTGTTTTTTCATGTGTACAGTCCGCAGAAAAAAAGATATCACTCTGAATAACTTTCGTTCTAATGATCGGAATTTCACGAACTAAGTGTCATTCCTGATGGTTCCTGGGGGTGACCTCAAATATGCTAATTAATTAGTGCTAACTATTAATTAAGTTACGAAATCAGACACAAAAACGTACTTCTCTGAATACACATATATATTTTTTTTACATATTTGGAATTCAGTCACTTGAATTAGTGGGAGTAGACACAATTTTAGAAAAATTGGGTCACAATAAAGGTTAAGATATTTGGCGTTAGTCCAGAAAGCCGCCAAAAAATGATTATTTAAAGCAGCTTGCGCAAATGATTATTTCAAGATAACCCATTGACTAATTCAAAAGAAAAATGCTTAATTTTACCAGGTTGCTAAGCAACCAAGCTATGACTGTAAAAAAAAAGTTGAAATAATGCTCTGTGATTGCTCGGAGAGGTTTAATTAATAGTTAATCGAAAATATCTCGATGTTTCTAGGCAATAGACAATTTTTAAACTAATTTCTGTCCAATACGCAAATTTCTTTGTTATTTTAATCTTCTTTGAAAAGAAAATTTGAATCGATTTATAAATTATTTATGATTTTCTAAGTTTTTAGATTTTAAATATATAAACTTTTTATCTGATATTATTTAGACTGTGCTGTTTTTGCTATATTTATTCGAGGATTTCATACTAAAATCAAATTAACATAACTTATTATAGCTATATACAAAATTTTAGGGATAATCATTTTTACAGCTTTAATCAAGTCTTCTAGGCAAGAAAAAAAAATGCTTGAAAAATAAAATGTAGATTGTATAGTATGTCTAATGCACATTCAAAAGGTTTTGTGTAATTTACGATATTTTTTTTTCTATAACTCAAGGAATTGCTGAATGTTTAGTGGTATTTTAAAAACATTGAAATATGTTATGTTTAAGAATTAGATATTGAAATAATGTGTTGCATATTGTATGATTCATTGTTTAATAAATCGCTTCATTCTGCTAGATATTTAGGTTACAAGAGTTTCTTTGGATAAAGATTATTAGCAAATAGCATCCCATATTTCGATACATTCTGAAACTTACGTTCGCAAATTCACCATAAAATTTCCCATAGCATATTCTTCAATTACGATAAGCTACATTTACCACCAAATGCTGGTACTATGATTATTTCTTGTTTTCTTATCTATGTTACTGGCAAAGTATGAAACGTTGGCATTGTGTAGAATGCCTAGGCATTCTATACAATGCCGGATGGTTTTAGGAAAGTATGAAATGTGAGAGGTATTATGACTAGCAAGTGACTAGAGATATATGACTCATCAAACAAGTTAGCGTTTCTCTCCTACTCGAAGTTGTTTGAAAAGGTGTTTTTTATATATCGATTCCAAAGTTTATTCTACATATATTTTAGGGTATACTTTCGGAGTATTTTAATCGAGTTTATTTTTGCACCCTTATTTGCTTAAAATTATTAAATAATTTGCTTAAAATAAATTATTCAAGCTACATGATTTAATGCATTTATAGTATAATAGTAAACGGGGTTTCCATCGCATATCCTTAACCAAGATACCGATATCAATTAATAAATGGAATAAGATTAGATGAATAATAAACGTTAATTTTTTCCTCGTTTTTATTTTCAAGGAAATATGCTTCGATCAAACAGATTTCATTCCGGAAATGAAATTATTGAGTAGGTCCCTTGGAGCAATATCATTCTTATCCCCTTTTGACGAAATATAGGAAAAATTGGTCTTCACAGTTTCTGTAAAAAGTATGTTTACCTTCTTGCCACGCTTTTTTTTTAATGAAAATTAGTTCGGAAATTAAGTATTTTTTATTGCATTTTTTTTCTATTTTTTAAATCAGATGATTCTACAATTTGCACGGTTTCAGAATCTTCATACAAATTTCAATTTTTAGTATTTCCTGCTTAACAAAATAAGGCATTTTTCCTGATAACAAATTATATTACAATAATATCTTGGAAATCAAGCTAAAGTTGAAAATTAAACAAAATAGTTTAGTATATTATCTGGATAAAAATCTACACGGAATCATGAAGAAAGAGTAAAAGATATAAGGAAATAATTAGTGAATCACACGTGGTAAGATAATAAAAAATTTACTTTCACAACTAAGATGTTAGGACGACATTTACTGATATATTTTAAGAAGCTTGAATATTTTGGCTACGTATTCGACAGCTTCTTATGTTCGGTATCTTTATACTCTTTGTAGTGACTTCTAAAAATCAACACTATTTTATATAATCTATGTTGAAGTCACAAGAAACAAAACAAAAGAAGACAATCAATACTTAATGCTTTTTTTCGAAAAAAATAGTATGCTTAGTAAATAATCAGCTGTTTTGCATTAAATAACTTTAAACAGCGGAATGTTTTATTCTTAACAAGTTTTATTCTTAGCTAGCAGACAATAATTCTTTTAAAAAAAAACTTGGCTATAATTTGAAAAGGAACTTTACTTTAAAGAAAGAATTAAAGAAATAGAAAAATTTATTAGTATATTAATGAAGAAATAATAAACGTAGTAGGGTAAAGAATAAGATTGTTAAAAATGTTAAAATTTAATTAAATAGTTGGTAAAATAGTTCTGCGAAACACTTCCGGACAGGTGATTAAAAAATTACTTTTAAGATTAAGACGACACATCAGATGTTGAGAAATTTGGGATGATGAGAGAGATACTTAAAAATGTTGACTACGTATTTTTATTAATATTTATAAAAAATATATTTAAGAAATTGATAAATATTTTATTCCAAATCTATTCATACGTATGTATATTATTGAAACTGTATCTGTTATTGAGAAAAAACTTAAAAAATAAAAAATAATCATTCTAAATAATCACAATCAGGTGTATAATCATACTCTATCAGAAGCATGCTTTTATAAAACTCGACATTCTTTGAATAAAATGTTTCATTCAAATTTCTTTACTGAATTGCAAATAGAATTTTAGACGACTAAAAAAGGAACATCGTATTTTATAGTTTTAAAAAATAAAAATAAAAATATTGGCAAACGATTATTAGTGAAGAAATATAAATGAAATTTTACGCTAAGGGAGCTAAGTCAAGTTCCTCGTAAGTCTATCGCATTTTAATATTAATCGTCCCATTCAATCATTTCTTCATTGTCGCCAAATTATTTTTTTTCAAAATAATTAATTTTAATTTTTCTCATCTTCTAATAAATAAAAACAGTTGAAACTTTAGATTTTTCAATTTAAAAATATATAGATTAAAATGGTATTAAAAAATCCATACCTTACAATTCAACATTTTTTCATCCTCACTTTAATTAAACAATAAAAAATAAAAAATAATTATTAAAAATTTTTTTTTCATGAAATTATATTTGGGTAAATGAGTTTTATGAGTGGGCGCAATTTTTTTTAATTGCTTCATCAGTTTTTAAAATATGACGGAAAACGCAAAAAGCGAAATTAACATTAAGGGGACCAAACTTTGAATCGCTCTCCTGACCATAGTATGGGGACCACATTTCCCAGATTGCGGCTACCCCCTATATTTTGAAGATAAGAAATCTAAATATGTATAAAAAAAATATATGTTTATTCAGAGAAAGTATGTTTTTGTGTCTGATTTCGTAACTTAATTTATAGTTAGTACTAATTAATTAGCATATTTGAGGTCACCCCCAGGAACCATCAAGAATGACACTTAGTTCGTGAAGATCCGATCATTAGAACGAAAGTTATTCAGGGTGATATATATTTTTTTTGCCGACTGTACATTATGTTAATAATGTTATTAACGAAGTTTTTTTATATCCTAATTGTTTTTTATTTCTCATTGCTCTTGCAAATAAAATAATTTTGAATAGCTATAACTCTATAAACTCTTCATTTTTAATTAATGAAAGATTAATTCAATTAACCAGCATTCATTATAGTACACGCTATTATTAATGTATTGACGAAAATTAAATATATAATTTTTTTTGAAGCACGAAGTAATTTTGAATATTTTTCTTCGAAGCACAAAAGTAGAAAAGCTTTTCCTTTAAGAAAAAATACTCAAAAAAAATAAGAACCTCTAGAATGTCTCTCTAACTTGGTATGTGCATTGCAAAGTTTACTAAAATATACATGCATATTTTTGACACTTTAAACTCTGATGAGTTTTAATTTTTTAAAAGTCTGATAAGTTATTAGGTTAGTGTGACCGGTGACTTTTTAAAGATATCCTTAAAACTCAATAACTAGGACTATCTTTTCATTTTGAAATATATTTCGACTTGATTAACCTATAAGAAAGATTGGCGACATATTTTTCAGACATTCTTTCCACTTTGCACACATGCTTCCAAGCAGAAAGGACTTACAGCTCCATCTCAATTAACTGCAATACAACTTCAGGCATGAACGCAGAGGACATTTTCTATGTAGAAATCAGGGACAATGAAAATTTGCTGGTGCAAAATTTCACAACCAAAGAATCAGAGTTTGAAGTAAAGAATTTGAGGCGAAATTCTATTTATTCAGTGCAAGTCTTCCTCATAAATAATGCAAGAAAAAGTAAACCCCTCATACTTGATGTGCTGACTTCCCCTGGTACAAAGAGCAATGCCACAAATGGTAAGTTGCTGTTTGTACTATATTATAAACCAATCAAGTTAGCATGTAGAAAATTTAGAATTGTTAATATAGTTGGTTGAAGAATTATACAAAAATTATATAATAGAAATATTAGAGATACTAAGTTATATTAAGTGAAATGTATTAGCCCTAGCTGATGCATTACAAAGCATTGGCGTTTACTTGTAGAAACATTAGATCTAAAAGTGTTATTTTTGTCTAATGATTTATTCAAACTAATCAAGTTCGAACGTTAAGAAAATATGCACGCTCTGAGCAATATGTTTGAATGAAAAATCATGAAAAACAATTAAGTTAGATTTGACAAGTATATTTATAGATAAGAAGATCAAGTCCTTTTTTGAACAGTAAAGAAAATGCAAGAAAAATTACATTTATATATGTAATCTATATATTAATTCACACATCTATTTTGATTTTTAATATTCAGTGAATTCGCTTTGTATCTTAGAAGTCATACTTAATACAGATGTGGTGCCATGATATATACAATTTTGTGATATCAATTTCAAGCAATGCACATTCAACAGCAAAATAAGCCAAATTTTTTGACAATAAATATCATGTGTATAAAAATGCTTCATGTCCAAACAAATACGTTATTATGAAGAATAAAAAATAGTATGATCATTTAACACATCAATGGTAAACCTAAAGTGAAATCTAAGACTTATCAAAATCAAGACTCATCAGTTTAATCAAGATTTTCAGAATAAATATACAATTTAACAAAATTTCAAACCTCAGATATGTACAAATTTTTAATGTTACATTTTAATCATTTGCAATCATACAATGCTCGATTTAATGTTAAAAGATTTAAATCATTATGCATATATTTGTATATATAACAAACAAACTACTTATAGCAAATGGTTTACGATGTTTTTTACTAAATTTGAAAATAAAAAAATAAGTGAAGATAGAAGAAACATTATTACTGCATTATACATACAATCGCAAATAGTTTACGATGTTCTTTTACTAGATTTAAAATGAAAATATGAGGAAGCATTATTACTGCATTATACATACATTAGCAAGCAGTTTACGATGTTCTTATACTAGATTTGAAGCAAGAATATAAAGTGGGAATAAAAGAAGCACTATTGAAATATTTTATATTCGAACAAAGTTATGAAGCAAATAGTTTACGATGTCTCTTACTTAGTTTAAGCAATAAAAAAAGTCAGGTGAATTTAAAAAAAAAGCATTATTACAGCATTTTACATTAAATAACAAACAGTTTATGATGTTCTTTACTTGATTTGAAACAAAACAATCAGGTGGAGAAAGAAGAAACATTATTACAGAATTATATATTAAAAAACAAACATTTTATGATGTTCCTTACAAGAATTGAAACTAAACAATCAGCTAGGTGGAGAAAGAAGAAGCATTATTACAACATTATATATTCAAAAACAAACATTTTATGATGTTCCTTAGAAGACATTCCTTAGAAGATTCCTGTATAAGATGAATAGAATATAATCAGAATATATTTAGCAGTTTTGTAATTGTTTTAGTTATGCCGTTTTTATTAATTTTCGACACAATTATGTAAATCGAATATTATTTTTGTTGCATAATGAAGGAAATATTGAAGTACCATGTATATTAATTAGAATTGTAAAAAAAAACTAATTACATTTAAATTAATTCTGAATCAAAATATCATTAAAAAAGACCCGAACTTTCATTCGTTATTGATTATTTCAACCATGATAATTACTTAAAAGAAACGTTATTTACTCTTCAAACCAATAATCCCGCTTATTCGAAAATGGGGATACAATATCTATAAAAAATAGACCTAGTAATGCAAAAATGTAATTCTTGATGACACACATATACATACACACACATTCATACATATATNTCACCGAATGACAGTTTGTGATAAATTCGATTAATTTATAATTACTGCAAACAAAAATATTTATCTATAATAATGATACAAGTTTGTTCTACTTTAAGTAAGCTTTTGGAATATCACTAACATAAATCTCGCAGAATTGGGTCGTGTACCTTTTTTTTTTCAATTTTCGCTGGTTACGGTTTGACGTGCCAAAATTTGACGACAAACTTTAAGTGTTTGCAAACGTCAATATTCACGAAAAATATCATTCAAGAAAGTATGATAGTACAGCTAAGCTACTAAATTTTCTTTTTAATGATTTTCAGTTTTTTTTAAACAGAATACATATTTAAAAAAATAAAAAGTATGTTAAACACTCTAAGCGATACTCGTGAAAAGTTGTCAAATGTAGAATTGAAATAAGAAATGTAAGTCAAAATCAAGTTACTCGCGATCAAAACTGTACGTATCTTAAAGTTAGTAATGCATAGTTACTCCTGTAATTTTATTAGAATTAATTTTCCCTTATTATGTTATATATTTATAAGAAAAGTTTGAAGACACCATAGGTTAAAGGTTCTAGAGATTTACCCATATATATATATATTTATATATATATATATAAGAGATTGTGGATCATGAATTGCTATTTAAAATGAGAAAAAAAAGTTGACATCGAAAGTAGGCAAATTACTATTATGGAACGTGGCTGTTTTAAACATTTAAGCCAGTCCAAATGTCATTTGAAACTTAAAGAGGTATTTATTTATTTGTCTATCTAATCCTGCTTTCCTGGCAATCAAACATGTTTTGATGATTTGTGCATTCACCTTCTACTATAGAGATTTGTGAAGTCCAAAAACATTATCAATAATGACTGAACTGAGTGACTGAATATACTGATGAATGAACTGACTGAATGACTACATCAATACAAACAATGGATGCAACAATTGAAAACATTAAATGTACTTAAATGCTATTGAGATATGTAATACTGAGTGAATTCACAAAAATTGTACACCATTTAGTATTTTTTTTAATGAATTTTACTTTTTTAATATAACTAAACAAACTATTGTAAGCGGCTTAGGTAATTCTGGTACCTGCTTAGTCAGTCCAAAATAATTATAGTAATTGGCCTAGATACACTCATTGCCATAAAAATTTGCGCACCAAGAAACAATTGTCAGGATGAAAGTACCCCTGTGTAAGTACAACGTTGGTACAAATAAGTGGTTAAAAAATCAAATCGAAGAAAAATTGAAAAATCAAATTTGATCCCACATATGCTCAATCGATCACAAATCTAGGGGATCGAGCAGGCCGTAGGAGGGTGGTAATGTGGTGCAGGCAAGCCTGGGACAGTAGCCGCATGCATTGTGTTATTGAAAAGTGTGTCTGGGAGACCTGCTATATATGGTCACGAACGTACTGCTCGGTTGTCATGTTTCCATGGATGAATATTAGGGGTTATTGTGAGTCATAAGCGATAGCACCTAACACCATCACACAGCCTGGGGGAATGGTGTGTCGCTGTACAGCGTTAGTAGGATTGACACCCACCCACCGGTGGCTCCATTTTGAGTGGTGTTGAATTCGTAAGGAATGGATTGCAACTAAATGGAACCAGATTACCTGCAACGATGAATTCCGTTCTACTTGCAGTGATGGAAATCATGTACGTCTCAATCCAGCCTTCACTGCACAGCAGCAAACAGCTCTTACATCTGTTGTGATGGTGTAAGGTGCAATCGCATAAGGCACACGACCGCGTCTAATATTGATGTAAGGTGCCTTGACGGTGCGTATTCACAACATTCTTTAACCACATGAGTGACCACTGAAGACTGGCCACCCAGCAGCTATTTTTCATCAAAACACTGCTCGACCAACTACAATAAGAGTGTTATAGGACTGCCTACGCTACATTACCACCCTTCCCTGGCCTGATCGATCTCTAGATTTGTCACAGATCAAGAATGTCTGAAATTATTTAGATGGCAAGTTGAACAGACTCCGAGTTTAGTCGAATTAGAGGCGTGTTTACAACTGCAGAACAAGATGCCATAAGACATCATAAGTGACTTGTATGGCTCAATACCCGAACCATATTGCATGTTGCCTTCGAAATAGGGGGGCCAAAACAGAATACTAAAAGAACCATTTATTTGCATTTTTTATGCCATAAATGATCTATTTGGTTTGAGTTTTTATTCCCTTACTTACATCAGCGTTGTACTTACATAAATAAAACCTTTCCCTTCTGACAACCTTTCGCGTTTGTGTAAGTTCTTCGTTGGTTTTTTAATTTTGTTTATTTGCTAGTTTTTAATTATATTGCGATTAACTTGTGACATTTCAAGTACTTCTTTGTCAGTCTTTGTATATTTCTAAAATATTTAATAATGAATTTTACACATTTTATTACGTATTTTGCAGGTAGCAATTGGTCTTTCGAGTACAGTCCCATAGTATATTTATCATCTGCCGTTGCTTGTGCTTTTGCTTTGGTGTTGTTAGTTACAGCATGTGCTATCAAATTCTTTTTAATAAGAAGAAGAAGTATGAAATTAAAACTTTTTTTTTCTATTGAAATCGTATAAATAGTTAGCAGTTTTAAAATGTTTTCTAATTTTGTTATAATACCTAAATAGTTTATTTTATTTACATCGCACTTAATTTTTATGTATAAGCATTTGACTCTGTTAAACAAATGTCAAATAAATAAAAATATTGCATATATTTTTGATAAAATATTTATGTTACTTAAATAGAATATACTAGTTTTTGGTTTACTTCAAATTTTAGATCTAGAAGTTTGTAAGTGCATTTACAGTTACTATTGAAAGGAAATATATTTTTATTTAAATTGTATTGAAAATGCTAATTTTGTTTTCGCAAGTTGACATTCACTATGAAGGTCAATTATTATTATTTTTTTTAAATCAATGAAAAACTATTAAGAATTAAGCGCAATTGAAAAAATGGGCTGTACTAGTCCTTTTACTCAGTTGAATTGAATATCACTTTTGGATGTGGAATTCACATTATTTGTAGTTTACTAGTTGCATTTTACTTTATTTCATAACCGGCGTTGAGCACCAAGGCCAATTCTGATTAACGACAATCACTGTTTAACTCCGTAGCCTCGTAGGCTTGAAGCCGATCCAGAAGACAATTGAACTCCTGGGTCAAGTCTTTTGACAAACTAGTCTTCGTGGATGACTTTTTTAATGGAACTGAACCGCAATTGCTTGAATGGAAAGAAAAACTACGAAGACCACCGACGGTTAGCCTGGTGACTAAATAATTATAATCCACGATCCGTCTACCACAGAGAACAACACAGTGATCGGTGCGAGATGGAAGCAGAATTCGTATCGACCAGCCAAGGCTGGGGTGCGAACTTGTGGGACACCTGTTATCTAGACGAGTGCTTTAGCCCATGAGCCCCCACATCGTTTTACTAATTGCTTGAAAACAAAACTTAACATTGGCGGAAAATCATATAGTATTATTGTCTTTGGGGGAATAAAACAATAAAGAATGTTCGCTTTGTAACACAGACATACTCTCCAGGAACCAAAATACCAGGCTCAGGATGCGAGAAAACCGAGGAAAAACCCTTTAGTACTAATTAGTCTAAACCCAATGCAAAGTCGTGAAAACGAATTCTTTGTCGAATGATGCTAGTACGTAATAAGAAAATGAGATAACCTTCTTCTATCTATTAAATGTAATTTAATTAATTATTGAATTTATATTTTACAGTGTGGACATACTAAAACGCAAATATATTTTAGTAGTATATATTTGGGTGATATAATAGTGATACTATCAGTCAAAAATATACGATGATTTATTTAAAAATATGTTTGTTATGAAGTGCTTTATAGTAAATCTGAAATTTATTCTTAGCATTAAAATATATTTAAGAATGTAAACAATTAGTATTTTTTTAACTCGTTACTTTTACTGAGGATTCAGAAGTGTTCACACAAAATTGCAAAGCCTTCCAATTTTTTTTACATAACTATAATTAAATTTTGAATAAAATATGGCATTTATTTCTAAATCTGATTTTTTTTAGAATTAATGAACCAGCAAGGAAATGAAAAGTGAGTAATTTTAACTAATCTCAATTTATTTTTATGAAGTTAAACTATTTATATTTTCATTATACGTTCCTTTCACATCAAGTTGATAAAAAAAAATATTTTAGTTGATTAAAGCTTGTTTACTAAAATAAATATATATCATTCATTCATGATTAATCAACTGAATGAAATATATTAAGGCAAAAAAAAAAATTATACATTCATTTTCTTAAAAATAAAGTTAGTTCTAATCGTAAGATATACTAAATAATAAATCATACTAAACTAAAATAGATGTACTAAAACTGGTTACAACTTAATCTAACTAGACTAGATGTATTAAAATTTAATGCAACTATGTACACTAAAAATAAAATTACCAGAAAAAATATATTTACGGGTCATAAACATTTTATCCTTGAGTAAGAATTACTTTAAAAAAAAGGTTTTTTTCTTCTTCTTCTTTCTTGAAAAAGATTTATATCAGTATAAAATGTTTAAGATATATTATAATCTTACGCTTGTGAAGTGAAAACAATTAAATAAATCCTGGTACTTATAGGAATGACTCAAACTTTACACAAGCTGTCCTAAAAAAATTCCAAAAGGATTATGAATATATTGTTTTTAGCAGAATAAAATTATTTCTAGAACATAAGAGAACGTAGCTATTTAATCAGTAAAAGTTGCGTTACATATATAGGTGATACAGAGCATGATATAAATGTAACGGACAGATAATACAATTTACTAGTAAAAAATTGGATAACACAGAGTCTAAGCACATTACTTAACAATAGCCCAATCTTATGTATGCTAATTAATTATTGCTTATGATACTTTAAGTTACGAATACAGGTACAAGAACGAACATTACCTGAATAAGCATATCTTTATTTGGCGGATTTGGATTCTACAGCCTCAAAATATGAAGAGAGGCTAGCCGCCATCTAGAAAATACGGTCCAATTAGTTAAGGCAAGATAGCAGTCGCAATTTCGTACATTTTGCGTATTTCACAATATCTCGAGAACTTCTTACGTGAATCGAAGAATAATTGATCGCATTCATGAAATCCGTTTATCGAAAAGTAATTACACGTAAAAATAATTTTTTAACAATTTATTCTATTATTTTATTTAATACAAGTCGAAAAACTTTTGTATTGTACTCTTCTTCTTGGATAATTTAAATATGCAATTTTAAATATCAAAATTCAAATGAAATCGTTTGAGCACTTCTCGAGAAATCTAATTTTATAACTTTTTATAGCCCCGGTCTATTCGAAGTATTCGTAAACCATTCTGTGTAGAGATGCTTGTCCACCACTTGCCGCCATTCTATACGGGTGTGTGTTCCACCTCAGAAAGTCTTGAAATCTGGCGTGCAATGCCTTTTCTACTTCTCATTGAATTTCTTTTTGCGACTGTTGTTGACGTATGCCTGTTTAGGCAGAGGGGGTGAGATTGTTCTTGTTTTCCAGTGGCGTCATCTACGACAACATTTGGTTGCATAGATAGAACACGGTTGCAACATTTGCTTATTTATAGTTATTTTATAATTTGTGCCTACGTTGTTAATGAAATTGGCTATAGGTAAGAATGGTTTACTGTTTGAATGCAATCTGCTTAATCCCTGTTTGATTCGCCCTGTCGAATCGTGTTTCGTTGGTTGAACCTTTGCGTCTAACTTTCTTGTATAAATTTGTATAAATCGCTTACTGATAATAATTGTGGCACAATTATATTTTGCATTTTGTAAGAAAATAATTATCGTATTAATGTGTCCTGAATTTGTTCGTATTTTAATTCTTTCCTAGTTATAATTCAATTTTAATTAGGGCTTTTAGAATAGCCAAACTACAAGTAAATATTTTGTTCAAAATAGATCCGCCCATAATTCAGAGAAATCTGGTGATTCCTGCTCAGAAGGGTTTCCATGTAACGGAAGAGAAGACGAAAAATTAAGAGAAAACATACCAGGTAAATCAAAGTTATGTTCTATCCAAAGCATTTTCTTTTACTTTTTAAACTTTTTAAGGTATTAAAACACTGATTTGTATTTGAAGTTTTAATGTTCTTAATTAAAGTTTTCAAATATAGTGTATTTAAAAACAGCTGCAAATAAAGAAAAAATTTTAATAGTCAAACTCAAGTTTACTTGTATAAAACTTGTATAACTTGTATAAAATAGGTATTCCTTCCACTTCCAATTTACAGATAAGATTCCATAAACTATGAGCTGCAATATCAGAAAAATAGTTAATCTTGGCCATATATGTAAACTACTTTATTTGATATCCTTGTGAGTACTTTAATTGAGCAATCTCAACTTTTTTGTTAATTTTTTCCTTAATTAACTAACAAAAATCATTCTTTTTAAAGAGCGCAGTGAAATTATTATGATTTATAATAATTATTCTCATTTCTGAATTTTTAAACGATTTTTTTGTTACATATTACAATCCGATTGAAAAACCCAGAAATTGACATACTTCTTTGAAATGAACTAAAATAACTATACTGTGCCAAACCAAAAACCAACTATAAATTCTTGATTCTGTATAAATTTGATTTTAAATTCACCAATAAAATTTGTAAATATACTAAATATGTATTTGAATAATATAATGCTCTGCAACATAATTTGAATTTTATTAATTATTAATTTCATTAATTTTATTTATTTAATTTAAATTTTTAGTTAAATGTTAAAGTTAAATACGTTCGTCAAATTTTTTTGTGCATATTAAGCTGTGTATTCAAAATTTGCTTCTCCTTTCTTAACAGAGAAATGTTAAATTCATGTCTAACAATTTTTAATACAAGAATATTCAAATTTATCTCGATAATTCATAATAATTTGCGTAATTTTGTCTATAAGGGTTATTTTTTTTCAGGATTTTTATCGAAATATAACTTGAATAAAGCGTTTATTTTCTATTCATTTGTCTTGAAAATAATAAAATAGCGTTTGTTTTCTAATTATAATTAAGAATACTAGATCAGAAATATATTGATTTTCTCCAGAGAATGGAAGGTAGAGACGTAGATTCTAATATTTTGCCTTAAATATTAATATCTGCAGTCGAGATGTTTCTTAAATATTTAAAAATGTCAAGTATTAGGCCATACAATTTTAAAGCAAGTTTCATTTCGCCATTATTTACTGTAAATTACAATAATTAAAAGATTGGTGCTGAAGTAATAAAGAATAAATGTTTTAAGGATTGTTTTGAAAATGAAGGCGTAGCTAAAAATGTAATTCATTGAATTAATTGTTTAAAAAAAACCTCTATTGCTGTAGAACTAATAGTCATTAAAATATTTTGCAGATTCAAAACATCTCACACAGATTTTTATCTTACTGAACAGGAAAATAACTTATGGGACCTTTTTTTCCTGTTTACAAATTAAGAATAAAACTGCAAGTTTATACAAGTTACCAATTATACGCTCGAAACACTAAGTGTTGCTAACAAAAAAAGTGGTATTTAAGTTACCATTCAAATAGAGTCTCTTTCTTTTTATTTTATTTTATAACTACAGTTGAACAGCAGGCCCAATTGTAGGTTTACAACAACTAATGTTTATCTCAGTAGCCTTGTAGTTCTGAACCCAATCCAGAAGACAAGGGCACTCCTGGGTCAAGAATTAGAAGACATTTGCCATCAGTGGAGGACATTAGGGAATTTAGCCAATGATTCGTCTACCACTGAGGATATTTTACATCAGCACTGTTGTCTGTGAAAGTCGGATGCAAAATTCATATCGACCAGCCATCGCTGGGATTCAAACCCGGTTCACCTTATTGGAAAGCGAACGCTCTATCCCCTGAGCCACCACGGTTCATAGCCCTTAAAACGACTCAAAAATTCTGCAAAGTCAATCATATCTAGTCTCAAAATGATCAAAATTCTAAATGGTGGAAGAATTTAGGCTCGCCACTGGACATGACTATTTCTCGAAACATTTGCGCTGTTTCTGCTTAGTTTAAAGTCCTATTTGCAGTATTTAAAATCTGATACGGCTCATGGATGATGACCATCTCATGCTTAGCCGAGTCGCTCTCTTGTGGACCGCTACTGGGAGGACAGGGGCCATTCAGATTCATAAATTATCGCTACAGCTGCTTCTCTTGCGCTCTGTAATTTTCTTTCGATGTTTGCTTTCTATTTGTTTTTGTACTTATTAATGCAGTTGTTTTTCAATCTTGTCATTAAAAATTTAAAAAAAAATAATAAGTTGCCGAGTGTCCAAAAAAAATTGACTTTTTAAGAAAAAACTAATTAAAGAAAACCGGAATGATATACGAAAGGACAAGCTGCGTTTTGCTTAGGAAACCACGTTTATTTTTACAAGATTTTAAAATTAGTTACAAAGTTTGCTAATAGAGGGCTCGAGATAAGAAATATATGAAGTTACAGGGGTCTGAAGTAATCATTATATGTAACAGCAACTCAAGACAAAATTTCGAAACATCCATAGCATTTTTTATTTGGAATATTTTGACAAAGAGCAAAGAAGAATGCTTCTTCAGTAAGTAACGCTATATGTAGACTAAATTAGCATATGAATGGAATTACCATGATTATGCTTAACCATACTTATTTACTGTCATATTTCTTTTGAATGCCTTTTTATTTACCTATTTTCATTTTTTTGGACCATTTTTAGGCATACAGTAATATTATTGTAATAATATAACGTAAAATTATATTTTTTTATGCTATTTTTTGTAAAATTAGGTTAGATAGAAAGTTATAACTCACACAAAAGGGTCAGTGCATGCATTGTTAACATATGTAAACTTGTTTAGAATAAAATCAGATGCAATGGTAAATGTCATTTGAAATTATGTTCACAATGGTTCTAAAAATAAAGGTTTTGTGTAAAGTAAGTTTTATTTTAAATAATACAAACTTAACTAAAACATTTGTTAACCATATTTTTTTTAGATGTCGTTGTTTTTAGCGAGAAATTAAAATCCGAAGACTCTGGATTAAGAAAATATTTTTCTTCAAGCAGTTGCTCATATTCAAATCATGTGACACTTCCATCTAATCAAGATATGTTTCCACAAGCAAAAATGAAAGTATGAGAAATAAAGTTTATATCAAACATATTTTAAATAATTTTGAGCAGTGACTTTTTTTTTGATGTTAGGATAATGGCATATTAACGCATCATTTCAAGATTTAGAAAAACAATAATGACGGAAAAACTATACATAAATTCTCCCTAAAGGATTCCTTTTAAAACAGAAAAGTGATTTTAATTTATCCACGTTAATCTATGGAGTCTGAATATTAAATATCCAGAATTTCTCTATTTAAGTAGTTACTGTTAAGTAGCTACTTGTTTTTCAATGTTTAAGTTTTAAAAATATTTAAAAACTAAAAATTTAAAAATTATAAGCTAAGTTCAATGATAATTTTTTCAATGGATCAAAAGAAAAATTATTCAAAACAATTAGTTGATGATTAACTCGGGAAACTCCAGTAATAAGGATATACCAGACACTTAATTCCTTATAGGTTAACATGAGAAGTAAACCTTCTCTGCCAGAAATAAACTCGTAAATCATTTTGTTTTAATTTAAAATAATGTTTAAATTTCATTTTTTTTGATATACGATGCAAAATGTCAGAACCTTTTAAATGTATAAAAAAATTTTAATTCCCATAAAAAAGTATTTTTACAAATATATTTATTGTGAATTTTGATAATTAATGAAATTATTAAGAATCTTTCTTTGAGACGTTTGACATTAAATTAGGTACGGCAATATTATCTATATGTCTGAATTAACCCTTATTACTCAGTTCACACTGAATGGCTGTGGTAATGGCATATCGCTTCATTGCAAACTTATAAGGCTTTGGCCATTATCTATATGAATGTTAGGGAGCGAAATGGTATATTAAGAATCAAACTTTAATAGGATTACCACACAGTAAAAAAATGAAAGCTCACATTTCACGACTTCTTATTTGACGAAAACATTTTCTGGTACATGCGTCAAGGTGACAAAATAACTGCCGTCATATCTTCGATAGAATGAATTTCGTCAAAATTTAAAAAAAAATAAATCATTATGCTACTTTTTACCAAAAAAAAAAGAAGAAACTCGTTGCGTCTAATGTATCTAACTTTTATAATAATCACTTTATTGTGGGAACTATATAGATGGATCAAAGTAACCCAAACAACATAAGGACAGGAGAATAAATTACACACATGCCCGAAGTGCGATGTGAACCCAGACTCATATAGGTTTAAGGCCAACACCTTGACCACCATACAGCTAATCGGCTTGTTTCGCCACTTTATTTCCCATCATCTAGGCTTTGTTCCAGTTAACAAGCTATCACAATGTACTGTGATGAGGTTCCAAGTTCAGGAAGCATTTTCGTCAAATTTGAGAGCTCGCGTTTTGTCACAAATCACGTGTTTTCGTGACGAAATGATTCTCAAAAGTAACGAACCACTGCTCAAGGATTGCTAAATCGTCAAACATGAGACTTATTTTTGAGAGTGCATAGTAACATAAAAATAAATTAAATGAGGAGATAACTCATAGTGCAAAATATATAAGAGGAATTATGCCAAAAAATTTATTTACAGTGTGTGGCAAAATGTATTTCCTTTCGTATTTCTTTAACAATATTTTTATGAAGAGCTATCGGTATTATGGCATCTTAATTTTGCAAAATGTAAATGACTTCGTTTTCGTTTTTAGAATTTTGAAACAATCCCCCCTTGGTCAACTGCTGATTGGGTGATTCCCACGCAGCCTGTAGAAATGGTGACTCTGCAGTTCCACAACACTCCGACGATAAGCACTGCAGAAGGTGCTACAACTCCCTGCAGTGAGCAACATGTGCCTTCACAGACATTATCTACTATTTCTGAAACAAAGGCAGCGCTTACTTCTTCCAGTACATTTTCATCACAGCCCTCAACAACTTTTGCAAAGCAAACGGATGTTTGACATTAAAATGTTGCAATACAAACCGTGACATATTTTAAATTGTGCGTTCTGAAAATTCGTTGTAAACTCTTAATTATTTCTATCATTTCTATTATGTTTTTTTTTTATGAATAATTTTATAAATAATGCAAGTGTATAGTTCTGTATTGTACTTAAAGTTCATCTTATATTGCAACTCTGTAATATCACCCTGCAATATCGTATTCATTTTAAAGTTAAAAATGAGTACCTGCTAGCATCGAATTTAAAAACATCCCAATAAGTAATTATCAATTTACCCAACAGAAATAGCCTGCTTTTAAAAACTAAACTGTTATTGATTAAATGAAATAGTATAAGATTGGAACGAATCAGTGTAGGCTCCATGTTGATTATCAACATTGACTGAATTAAATTACCAGAGCTACATAAGAGAATCTAAAAATAATTTACAGTAAAATAAACTAATTTTCACGAAAAAAATTACAACTTTAACTTAAGATGATGTATTTAGATTAAAAAGTTACGGTAGAAAATAGAAAAGTTAAATGAATGACTACAGATAAACTGAGTATTTCAAAACATGAACCCTGCTCTACCAAGTAACTCGGTAAATCCTTAATTATCCTGGCAATCTGAATGGTTAAGAATTTGAAAAAATACTTGGAGAAAACTGAGTCGTAACATCATAATTCATTGACATTAATAACTAACCAACTTTTTTTTTCTTTACAATTTACTATAAAATTAGATTATTGTGTGAATAATACACTAAATAATGACTACGTAAAATTAAATATAACTTATATAACATTAATTTATTATTATGCTTTGATAACAATGAGCATTTATCAATAATTTATCATTTAATTTCTGATATTTATTTTACAGGCTCAACAGTAATTCTAACTGATATCAACGAAATGAAATATATTTGACAGTGTAAATATATATATAAATGAAGATATACGGAAACAGTGGAAATGACAGCAGTGAATGTAGTTCACATTATAAAAGGAATGTCACACACAAAGTTCTATTGACATTTTTTTTATTATTAATAATAAATTTATTATGAATATTTAATCAAATATAAATGAAATCAATTTATTTTATTTATATTTCATTATTTTATTTTGAAAATCTTATTGATGTAAGTAATGAAGTGATATTGGTGATAAATATTAATACTGAATGTTGCTTAATGGTATATTTTTTCTTGCTCCAAACAATTCTAACAAAATAAAAACTATCATCATTTATGCATGCTCTAAATATAATTCTTACAAGTATGCAAGTGTCCTTCTTATGCAGTATATTATTTTTAAACATTAGAAAATTATTGTCATCCATGCGTGTTATTTTCCTAGTCATGTGTGTAAACAATATCATTTGAATATTGTGTATAAAAGCAAATGAATTTTATTTTTGCATATTTAAAATACATTTTATTTCGGCTTTCAGAATAAAATGAATTTCAATTTTTGCCTACCACTGTGGAAATAAGCTTAATAAAATATATTTATTGCTTTTTGGAATAAGCTTTTAAATATAACGTGAAAAATAAGAAATAAAAATTATTTTAAAAAAATGCTTTAAAGGTTGAAAATGTTTTAAGTCTCGATATTCAAAATCATTATTTTTTTAACATCTTAACATCTCCTTTCCTGTAGCTTAAAAAAACTTGTGTAAATATTAACATTGTAATAATATAAATATAAACATTGAAGTTTGCATAAATAAGTTTATTATAAATACAAAGACTAAAGTAAACTTTTCAAAAACAATTTATTTAGTGAGAAACAAACACTTATCTTTAATTTTGTCCTAAGAAAAATATTACAGAATCCTTATTTTAACCCATAGTTAATGATACCAAACAGTGTCAGTACTATTTTCTTTGAATTCTAAAATTAATGATAAGAACTTAAAATATTTTACATTTTTATACAATTTTATTTTGTAAAAAAACATGACCCATGATAATTATTCCTGCAATTTCACTTTGATTTAAATTTTCCAGTTGTAATTGACTACAAATTTCAATTTTCGCTTATTTTTCAAAATTATTTATCACTTAATCACAACCGTAATCATGATTTCATACGCTTACTTTTGTATTAGAACAAGTGTGTTTTAATTTTGATAAAATAATAAAAAGCAATCACTTGATCTAACATTTTGTGAAAATTTATATACATAACACAATTTCAATGACCATTTTTACTTGGGGAATAAATCGTAAGCATTTTAAACAAAAATTTATAACCATAAAATATTTTTAAAATTATGTCCAAGGTATTTTCCATTGTTCTATAACATGATAGTTGTTTTTATATTATCATAATTTTCTTAAATTTTAAGTTCTGAAAATAATTTATGTTAGATGCATATTTGTAAGACGATTCGCAAAGGTTTATTCAAGAATTTTTGTTTCGTTGTTTAGTCTTACTTTATTTCAATATTTATAAAAGTATCATAATGGGAGATTTAGCAGATTTATAAAAGTATATACTGTCGTTTGTATTGCTTTAAATTTGTAATTAAACACGAGACTTGCAATACCTTGTCAACAAATTCCGTTTCAATGAATTTTTCTGATTACTTTTCCTCATCTAATTTAAAGAGAAGATAGAAATGTTTTCATGCACTAGTATGAATTACTTTATAAGTTAAAATTGTTTACATTCTTTAAAAATACAAAAATCTGTATTAATATATTGCGGTTTACATTGCTTTTGATGCTCAGTTTTATATAACTGTTTTTTTTTAATCAGAAAGCGTATTTTTACTCGTTTCATTTTTACTGTAAATTTTACGTTTAACAGCTTACTCTAATTGAAAAAATTAACACATTAATTCAAAAATATCAATAAAAAGAAAAAATGAGAAAATGATGATACTATTAATGAAAAATTACGATTACGAAATTATTGTTATCATAAAAATTATGATATTGATGATATGAAAAGGAAGATATTATTTTAAAACGATAAGCTAATCATCAATCAAAAGAAGAAAAAAATAATACATTGTTAAACAGCTGAAGTTTTCTTTACATATATAGTGAAAAATTATGGTTTTATTTAATCATCGATCAAAATTCGTAATAGCAGAATATGAAATTTAAACCAAGTGCTTTCATTTACATGCTTTCTCACTTATCTATTTTTTAAAAAAAAAGTACAGGATGCCCTAAATTAGATTCATGTTCTTTTTTCCTTCAAAAATTTATAACAAGATAACGGTACACTGCAAATAGTAAACTAATAATAAAGAAAAAAAACGTATCAAGAGTATATTTATTTTTTAGTTACTCATTCACTATCTGCAGCGTCATCTTTTGAACTGAAATCAGTACATGGAATAGGAAAAATGAAGAAAGGTTTATTTCCTCTTATATTTTGATGCTTCAGGAAAAGTTCATTTTTAATTAAAAAAATATTCTGAGCATTAATTGTCTGAAATTCAATTAGAAAAATTAGTAATATGATTTTTAAATTCTTGGTTTTGCTATAAGAAAACTACTTAAAATTTTCTGAACACTCATCCTAATTCAAAAGCATGTATCGCTTCATTCTATATTTCTAAATAAAAAACCTCATTTATGAAAAAAGAAAGCAAGATAAGGCAAATGATGTATTATTATTGCAAAGCAATATAATTTTTATTCAACAAAAATATTAAATTGCAAAATTTATTTACAAAAATACTAAAATATTACACGTTTTACAGTTTTTAAGCAATTGAAAATTAATTTTATAAACTTAATTAAGCTTAATCTTTCTTTCAGTTATTCACTTCGTGTAACTTCAAAAATAAATTAAATTTTCATTATTTATTTATTTATTTTTTTAAAAAAATGCGCAAAAAAAACTGGAGGGAAATAATTAATTTTTTTAAAAAGGTTTTTTTTTCCTTTTATTTTATGCGGACATGCTATTGCATATACATAGATATATTCATAAAATCCCATGCTATTTTAAAATATCATAAACACACCATTCTTATTAAAAATAAGAAGTGTGAAGTTGTTATTTTGTTTTAACAACACATTTTTCCTTCACAAGTCATTGCATACATTAACTTTGCTTTATTATGTTTCTGTAAAGTTGTAACTGTATATTTCGGTTTCGCAGATTGAATTGTTGCAAAAAAGAAAATTTTTTGCTATGATCAAATGAATATATTAATATGTATGTATATCAAATAGAGTATATTTTTATATCTTGTGGTTAAAAATATTTGTAAAGTACTGTGAAATTTTATGTGATTGAATAAAATGTTTTATGTTGTATAGTACTTTTCATACATTCTTTTCACAAATATTTACAGGTTTGGCGTTGTTATAAAGTTCATCCATAAACGACAGAAAACAAAGAACATTTTTTTCTACTTCATGAGATTTTTAACAGATCTTGGATATTTTCACTTCGTTGCGTTAAATTACAATTGGTTTTTCTCTCCAAGTTACGATCTTTTTCCTTAAATGACAATTATGGTCTATTATTTGTCAAAATGTCCAATTTTAAAAACGTTGTACATAACAGTGGTTCACATAAATGTTACGACAAACTTCTAGGAGGGTTAGGATACACCAGGATTAAAACGGTATGGGAACTCATGCCTGGAAATGTCGTCTTTAGCCACAAGGGGCGCTTTCCTATTATGTAATATTTATTTGTGTGCTTCTGGAAATGTCATAGAAGGGAAATGCCCCTTGCCACTTTCGATGAAATCTCCGGGCATATGTTCCTATGAAATTCTAATCCTGATTATGAGCTTTAACTCCCCTAAAAGTTTACCGCCGAGCTTATACATAGCCTCTGTTACACACAACTTTTCTTTTGAAGTGTACATTTTGGCACAAGTAGATTAAACTTATCATTTAAAAAACTGCCACTTTGGAAGAAAAAATTATTACATATTTGAAATCCCCTTACCCGAATAAAGCAAGAACAAGTTTTTGTATAAGTGCAACAAAAAGTTCCCACTTTGTAATTATTATATATTTATCCGTTATTGCATTTCCATATATAAAGTGACATTTCACAAACTAAATGTACTTTGGAATTTTTAACTATTTATGCATTATTTATTATTGGTACAAAGAACATTTTCAACTGACTTCAGCAGCTTATATTCTTTCACGCAAACAGTTATTCAACAAGCAACAAGAACGGTCTTAATTCCATAACTCAAAAAGAAAAAGAATCTTACATCTATTAAGATATGATTTTAAAAAAAAATTATAAACATAGCAATAATACAATAAAAGAATAAATAAAAACGAAGAAAAAAATGCCACTTAAAATATATCTAAATAATGTCCAAAATTTAATAATGAATCTTATCACATTTATAGGAGATATTCCACTATTATAGTTAATTTTAATGTCTACTTTACTTTTATAATTACTTTTAGAACATATTATACTTTTTAAAAAACTCTTACAACAGAATATTAATGAATTAGTTAATGTAATAAATATGTAAAGAAGAAAAATTATTGTTTTCGTTTTCATTGAAATTGTACTTGAGTGGAATTCGGTAATTAATTACACAAAGGCGTGCTATCTTTCTTTCACGAGAGTACTTTTTAATCTGTAACATTTTAAATATCCTTATATACTTAACTACTCAGAAATATGTTTTAGAATAAAATATATAAAAGAGTTTCATTTATATAGGTTTTTAAATATACGAATAATTTATGGATATAAATCACAATTATCTGACAAAAATTGTAAACTCTTTATATCAGCAATTTATGATCCCAAAGTTTAAATTTTATGTTTCAATTAGGGTCCTGTAAGTCCATAGATTGAATAAATTTAATAGGATTTATCAGAATATAATATTTCAAAATTTAAAGAAATCCAAAAATAAATTTTACTTTGTATATGTGTCCATAAAACAATTTTCAGATTTTAGTAATAACATTTATATTCAACAAATAAAGGGCTAAAGGATATATAATGATAAGCCGCACTTTATTTTCGACAGTAGCATTTTTTATCAGTATGATCCTTTCTATTATTTCAAGAAAGATACCTAACACATTTTCAATATTTTCGCAGGATAATACACTTATTGCCTGCATGGAAATGTTAGTATTTTTTAACTAAAGCATCATTCTAGGCAATCTGAAAATACTGCTTACTATTCCATATTTATCAAAACCTTGTACATAAAGTTTAAGATAGATTTCTTACGAAGAATAAAGTCAAGATTTTCTTGACAAATTAAATTATTTATACAAATTTCAGAATAATTTACTCAAAAACAAAAACTCAACTGAAACTGACTTTTGGGAAAACATTGGATTGTGAATAAAATTATAAAAAAAAAATTAAAATTTATATTATAAATGAGCCAAAAAGAAGAAGACGAGAAATAATTACTTTTCTTTTATTTTAAAAAAACTGTGTTGAAATTTTATATATTTAAAACAAAGAATAAATTCCAAACTTCTTGCTAAA